GTTACTTTACGTGTAGATATGAACATTAACTTTATAAGCAAATGAAATTATAACATATGAATTAATAATTAATTACTAACAAATATTACAAAAACAAATATTACAAAAATTAATACATTGATAAAAAATATTGGTATATGCATTTGAATATAGTGTGATAATTTCATTTGCTCCTAGTCTGATATATAAAAACTCTTACAATTTATAGGATTTTCACAAAAATCAACTTTTAAATTTAAAATAAAGCTTAAGCCTAAGCCTAAGCCTAAGCCTAAGCCTAAGTTTAATTATAAGCCTAAGCCCAAGTTTAACCCTAAGCCTAAGCCTAAGTTTAACCCTAAGCCTAAGCCTAAGTTTACCCTAAGCCTAAGCCTAAGTTTAACCCTAAGCCTAAGCCTAAGTTTACCCTAAGCCTAAGCCTAAGTTTAACCCTAAGCCTAAGCCTAAGTTTACCCTAAGCCTAAGCCTAAGTTTAACCCTAAGCCTAAGCCTAAGTTTGCCCTAAGCCTAAGCCTAAGTTTAACCCTAAGCCTAAGCCTAAGTTTACCCTAAGCCTAAGCCTAAGTTTACCCTAAGCCTAAGCCTAAGTTTAACCCTAAGCTTAGGCCTAAGTTTAACCCTAAGCCTAAGCCTAAGTTTACCCTAAGCCTAAGCCTAAGTTTAACCCTAAGCCTAAGCCTAAGTTTAACCCTAAGCCTAAGTTTACCCTAAGCCTAAGCCTAAGTTTGACCCTAAGCCTAAGCCTAAGTTTACCCTAAGCCTAAGCCTAAGCCTAAGCCTAAGTTTACCCTAAGCCTAAGCCTAAGTTTAACCCTAAGCCTAAGCCTAAGTTTAACCCTAAGCCTAAGCCTAAGTTTAACCCTAAGCCTAAGCCTAAGTTTACCCTAAGCCTAAGCCTAAGTTTAACCCTAAGCCTAAGCCTAAGTTTAACCTAAGCCTAAGCCTAAGTTTAACCTAAGCCTAAGCCTAAGTTTACCCTAAGCCTAAGCCTAAGTTTAACCCTAAGCCTAAGCCTAAGTTTACCCTAAGCCTAAGCCTAAGTTTAACCCTAAGCCTAAGCCTAAGTTTACCCTAAGCCTAAGCCTAAGTTTACCCTAAGCCTAAGCCTAAGTTTAACCCTAAGCTTAAGCCTAAGTTTAACCCTAAGCCTAAGCCTAAGTTTACCCTAAGCCTAAGCCTAAGTTTACCCTAAGCCTAAGCCTAAGTTTACCCTAAGCCTAAGCCTAAGTTTAACCCTAAGCCTAAGCCTAAGTTTACCCTAAGCCTAAGCCTAAGTTTAACCCTAAGCCTAAGCCTAAGTTTTAACCTAAGCCTAAGCCTAAGTTTACCCTAAGCCTAAGCCTAAGTTTAACCCTAAGCCTAAGCCTAAGTTTAACCCTAAGCCTAAGCCTAAGTTTACCCTAAGCCTAAGCCTAAGTTTAACCCTAAGCCTAAGCCTAAGTTTAACCTAAGCCTAAGCCTAAGTTTACCCTAAGCCTAAGCCTAAGTTTAACCTAAGCCTAAGCCTAAGTTTAACCTAAGCCTAAGCCTAAGTTTAACCCTAAGCCTAAGCCTAAGTTTACCCTAAGCCTAAGCCTAAGTTTAACCTAAGCCTAAGCCTAAGTTTACCCTAAGCCTAAGCCTAAGTTTAACCTAAGCCTAAGCCTAAGTATACCCTAAGCCTAAGCCTAAGTTTACCCTAAGCCTAAGCCTAAGTTTAACCCTAAGCCTAAGCCTAAGTTTAACCCTAAGCCTAAGTTTACCCTAAGCCTAAGCCTAAGTTTAACCCTAAGCCTAAGCCTAAGTTTAACCCTAAGCCTAAGCCTAAGTATACCCTAAGCCTAAGCCTAAGTTTACCCTAAGCCTAAGCCTAAGTTTAACCCTAAGCCTAAGCCTAAGTTTAACCCTAAGCCTAAGCCTAAGTTTACCCTAAGCCTAAGCCTAAGTTTAACCCTAAGCCTAAGCCTAAGTTTAACCCTAAGCCTAAGCCTAAGTTTACCCTAAGCCTAAGCCTAAGTATACCCTAAGCCTAAGCCTAAGTTTAACCTAAGCCTAAGCCTAAGTTTACCCTAAGCCTAAGCCTAAGTTTAACCTAAGCCTAAGCCTAAGTTTACCCTAAGCCTAAGCCTAAGTATACCCTAAGCCTAAGCCTAAGTTTAACCTAAGCCTAAGCCTAAGTTTAACCCTAAGCCTAAGCCTAAGTTTACCCTAAGCCTAAGCCTAAGTTTACCCTAAGCCTAAGCCTAAGTATACCCTAAGCCTAAGCCTAAGTTTACCCTAAGCCTAAGCCTAAGTTTACCCTAAGCCTAAGCCTAAGTTTAACCTAAGCCTAAGCCTAAGTTTACCCTAAGCCTAAGCCTAAGTTTACCCTAAGCCTAAGCCTAAGTATACCCTAAGCCTAAGCCTAAGTTTAACCCTAAGCCTAAGCCTAAGTATACCCTAAGCCTAAGCCTAAGTTTACCCTAAGCCTAAGCCTAAGTTTACCCTAAGCCTAAGCCTAAGTATACCCTAAGCCTAAGCCTAAGTTTAACCCTAAGCCTAAGCCTAAGTTTACCCTAAGCCTAAGCCTAAGCCTAAGCTGTTCCACACCGTATATGACTAATTCCCGTGCAATGCACATAAAATAATCAATTAATTTGAAAATATATGCGAATCTTGCTATTTTTTAATAGTTTTTGCATTTAATTGAAATGAAATTTAGTAGTACTACAATTTATTTTCTAGTTTAATTTAAAAAAATTTCACAAATTGTATGATTCTCAGAAAAATTAATATTTAAATTTGAAATAAAAATTTTGATCGTAAAATGAATTAAATGAATAAAAACCATAACAAATTAAAAATTTTATTAATTTCGCTACTGGAATATTGTTCAAAACTTAATTATTAAGGTTGATTATATTTAAATTGTCAGATGGCCATACCGCATATGACCAGTACGCGTGCCGTGCATGCGAAATAATCGATTAATTTAAAAATATTTATTTTTGTAACAAATGATATTTTTTAGTAGTTTTAGCACTTAATTAAAATGAAATTTGAAAATACTAGGATTCATTTCCTAGTTTAATATAAAAAAAAACTCTTACGAATTGTGAGATTTTCATAAAAATCAATATTTAAATTTGAGATAAAATTTATTTGTATTTGTAAAAATGAATTATCGTCATGATTGTGCAAATAAAATAGTCAATTAAGTTTAAAATATATTTATTTTTAAACTAATTAAGTTTCTTCCAACATTGTTATCGTTTAATTAAAATAGGATCTAGCAGATTTGAAAATTGTTTCAGCATGAAATTAACAAAAACTCTTAGAAATTATCGAATTTTTCTATTGATCCATGTTTGTTTAAATCTGTAAATTTGTTTAGATCTGTAATTAAACTCAATTTCAATGTTAAAAAAGAATTGAAATCACTACTAATTGCAATTTTTTTAATTTTAACAATAAATGATTACTTCAAAGTGAATTTTATAAACTTTCTTTTTTGCATATATTGTTAAATATCCCCAACAGAATGTATGCATATCAGAGGAAATGCAAATAAAATAGTCAATTAAGTTCAAAACATATTTATTTTTAAACTAATTCCATTTATTCTAGCATTGTTTTCATTCAATTAAAACAGAATTTAGCAGATTTAAGAACTCTTTCAGCATGAAATTAAAAAAAGTTTTTAGAAATTATCGAATTTTCCTATTGGTCCATACTTAAATCTGTAATTAAAATTAATTTCAATGTCAAAAATTTTTGATATCACTATTAATTGCCAATTTTTTTAATCATATTGCGCCAAAATTCTTTCCAGAAATTAAATCATGTCGTTTTTTAAGCAAAATGCTCAAAAAATCTATAACTCTTCCATAATTCAATGAAATTTTGATTTTGTTACTATTCAAGAATCTTAAAATTATTAAATTCATTATGCAAACTATTCGACCAAAGAAATTCAAGAAATTCAAAGACAAAATTAATAGTTAAATTCATTTTTTAGCTAGAAATATGCTTAATTTCAACAATTTTTCGTTTGATTTAGGTTAATAAAGTTTGTAATTTATGATTTATTCACCGTTTTTATCATTTATAATTGATATTTAATGGTATTTGTAATTATAGAGACAGTTAACAAAAATGATTATATACTTTAATGCAAAGTGAAATTCGTTTCTTCTTAATTACACCTTTAGCTAATTTCTGATTTTTTCTTTTTCTTTTTTTTTATAGAGTGTTTAAGTACAAATTATGAATTAGCACTGATGTCAAAAATAACAATTTTTGTTCAATTAATATTGAAAAAGGGCTATAAATATGGATATATTATTTTCATTAACATTTTGTAACTTTAACAAATTTTAAGCTAATTTCAAATGGTTTTATTCATCATTACACTATTGCTTTTTGTTAGCTTCCGTAACAGCTAACAATTCAAGAGTTGCTAATAAAAATCAGTTAAATGCTTTATCCAAGAATATTTACAGTGAAAATATACCAATTAAAAATTAACCACTAGCTTTTTTTTCCTTTTTTTTTTAAAAAAAAAAAAAATAATGGCATTGAAAAAGCAAAGGCTTAGACGGAAGAATGAATTAGAGCTTTTGAAAGAGTAGTAGTAAATGAGTTGTACTAAAAAAAATTACTGCAAGAAGTTCGCAATTTGTTAGATTTTTAACTTTCGAGTATAGCAGAGATAGTAAAAACCAAGTATATTGCAGAAAGCCATACAAAATTCCAAGAATGATAAAAATTACGAAAGGAATACATCATCAAACTGTTCGGTCATTTAGTTCAGTTCACAACAAATGAAAGCAGAACTGCATTCTTGGCAAAATAACTAAATTAACGAAGCAATTCTTGGGAAATTGACGGTTTTTTAACTAAACCTTTTTAAATTCAATTTAAAAAAAATTCAATTTAAACGAAGGAATCCAAATATATGACTTAACAAATGACAAATAACTCAAGCGGTAGGAATGTATAGAGTATATATATAATTGATAACTCTTGCTTTAACATTATGACTATGTATAACGATGTAAACAAGATATGGCTCGAGCAGTTGATAAGCGCACATCAATATCATGATCTTTTAGTAGTAACATTAATCCTGAAAAATCAATTGTCTAATGTAAAAAGAGTTTTGTCAGATTGAGAATTGATTAGAGACAAGTATGGAAGAAAATTAGAATAAAATTTCTTCATTACAAAAAATTTAAAGTTTGAATAATCATCGAATAATTTATTCTGCATTACTGTAATTATTCCAACTAGTGCATTAATACTGTTATTAAATCAATTTTTCTCGAAATACTAACAAGTTGTAAATTTTCAATATGTTGCAAAATTAAAGTTTGTTTCATCTATTTTTCAATTTAGCAAAGAAGAAATTCGAGTACTTGCTTAAGATCAACAAATATTAAAAGTTTTAAATAACTAATCTAATAATCCATCAACTGTAATAACTAGTATGAAATAAAAGAAAAAATCACTACTTATCTAAACTTATAAAATGAAAATGTAAAACAGCATTTTCATTGGTTCTATGAAATTTTACAAAATCTTATAAAAATCAAATTCATAAGCAGAAACAGTCAATCCTACTGCCTAAAATGCATAAAAATAAAAAATCACCTGCAAATATTAATTCTTTTGAAACAGTACTCCGTAATTCTGGTGTTAATTCACCCAACAAATAACCCGTCATATGTGCTGCATTGGAACGAATACGAGATGATGTGCTTTTGAAATAATTATTACAATTCAAAGCATAATAGTTGATACGATCAGGAAATGAAAAAGCCTAAAAATAATTGCTTAATAAGATTTGCTAATTATGAAATATTCAATGGCACAAAAAAGATTCTAATCTAATCAGCAAATAAATACTCCGTATTCCTAATACAAGTTTTTCATTCAATAAACTTAATATAATTATTATTTAACAAGCTATTACATTTCAATTATAATTAAATAATAATGAGGAAGTCGACTTCTAATGTCTTTCTCATTTTTTTGTATGAATGAGATATTTGTTTAAAGAAAGGCATTATAAATGATAAGAAATAATAACTTACTAATATTACACTAAATTCTTTCAAAAATTGACCATAATTATAGCATTGCTCATCGATTTTCAAGTCGCGTTCAACCAACATTGTCAAACGACTGGAATTTAACAACGAACTCACCGATACAAGGCATCGTGCACACATCTAAAAAGAAAATTTTCTTGAGAAAGGAAAAAATTTTTTAATTTAAATATTTTCACGATGATGTCAGAATATTTGCACCTATTTGTTTGAAAATCATTCAAACAAATATGCTGACAATGTTAATAAATATTAACTGGCAAATACAAACAAAATATTCAAGCTTATATTACTAACAATTTCGCACAGCTTCTAATAAAATTTACGGACTTAAAATTTTTCAGAACAAAAACTGAAATTGCTACCTGCTTAACTTGATCCTCTTCATCATTCAAATGCAAAACAATTGAAACAATATTTATAAGTAATTGTTCCCGATATGCATCACAGTTACCCACACGTTGACCTAATTCACCAAATAAACTGAATGATACAGCTCGTAACGCACTACTTTCCTAAAATTAATATAAGATTGGTAATTAATCTTAAAAAAAGTAAAAACTTGACAAAGACATTCAAAATTTAGTTTGCTGCATATTTAACGATAATATGATCTATTATTATTATTATGCAAAACCGTATAGATAGATCTCACAAAAATTATTTGAAACTAAGCAATATTAATTCTTACAACTTTAGGAGATGTAATAATGAAATTTGCATACTTTTTCAAAACATGGTCGTAATTTCAATAACACATTTGGCAGTATATTCTCCAGATGTGCATTCGGCACACGTGTTGAAAGTTTATTCAGTGCGTTAACTGCCTCCATTGCAATCTTAAATAACATGTTTTGATAAAAGTATGACAATATATATTCAGTTCATACTGGTAAACGTTTTACCATTCACAAATGATCATGCATAAAAATGATTTACCAAAAAAAAATCAATTCCTGATAGTAAAAAAAAAAATCTTGTAATAAAACAACAACCAACTTCATCACGACGATCACCACTGTCATCTAACCCGGCCATTGCAGCTTGTATCGCATCTGATGAATATTTGTTTAAAATTGAATCACTGCAGCAAGCCAAATCACCAAGTCCACGCACAGCTAACTTCAAATTAAAAAATTCAAATCATATTAATATAAAATAAGCATGCATACATTAATACTATCCATTATTCTTACGAAATGTTCCATAACTTACTTTTCGAATCTTTAAATTACGATCTTCCAATGCTTTCATCAAATTCATAATTAGTGACTCAAGAAGCTTGTTATCATCTTCGCCTTCTTCATCTGGACATCTAAAAATAAAAGCAAATCACACCTTAATGAAATATTAATAATTAAAAAGCAATATAAGCCTAACAAAAAGCAACACAATTAGTTACAGAGAGAAAACAATCCACTAATGCGCAATATTAATACGCACCGTTTAGTTAAAGCAGACAAAACAGCAGCAGCAGCAATACGATATGCATCATTTGCAGATTGCATACGAGGTATCATCAATGTTACAAGTGGTCGTATCCATTCAGGACGATGGTCACTTAATGAACGAGCTAGAACTGCTATCTGTAAAAATAGATAAATTAAAAAAAAAAAAAAGAAAAAAGAAAAAAGCACACTTTGTTAGAGCAGTAAGATTATTATATTTGAAAGAATAACAATAACATAAAAAAAAGAGGAAATAACATACAAGAAGAAATCAGTGCTAATTTATGATATATATTACAAGAATTATGGAATCAAACTTAAAAACTAACCCCATTTGTAAAGTGCAACGTATCGACACAATCACTCCATGCACGTTCTGAATTCATCTTTTCAACAATAGCATCATCAAGTGTTCGAAGGAATAAACTACGCAAAGCCTGAGATGCTAAAGCAGCTGGTGTAGATGATAAACGACGTAATTCCGGAGTGATAATCAATGATTTTACACCTAAATATATTTGCATAGTAAAATTGTCCAATCAAAAGAAAAGAGTAAGAATAGCATGAAAGAAATAATAAACTTATACAGGAACAGTTGAAGATAATATATTAAGAAATTATACCATCTTTTTCTTTCATCAGTACTGGATACTGAGTATCAACAACAGCTGCAAGAAACTGCAAAAGTGCTGCTAAAATATTTGGAATTCGCTTGCATAACTCCATTTCTGGCTCACCAGCCTAAAATATATGAATGAGAATTGATCAAATCGTATAGCTTTTCCATGTTTCTAGAAAAAAAGAACCAATAAAAATCAAATAACTGAGAAATTTAATTATGGACAAAATCTCATTTAAGATTTGTGCATTGAATTGTCTCATTAAAAAACTAATAAAAAAAAAAAAAAAAAACTTTCCATTGCTGACGGAAAAAATACTGTCATATAATAAGATGCAGAATAAAATTAGTCAACACGACAATATAGTCTTATTTCATGAGACAACAATTTGAAATATGATGAAACTTTTGAAAAGAGAAATGAAACGATAATATTACCCTAATAATTTCTGTAATAGCTGCTGCTAATGTACAAACTTCAGGTTTTACAATCTTCACTGATGATCCGGCACCGGTATCCAGAATTTCGAATGGTACTTCTGGTGTTTCCGATGAACCACATCCAGTCGTTATCAACTCCAATAAATAATCAGCAATCAATGGGAAGAGAGAATGATCATGCGACATTGTATGCCATGCATCAATCATCGATCTAAATGATCAAAATAAATGAGTAAAAAGTTTCGATATATCGTGAAGAAAAAATTAATTCTTAATTTTCTTGTACCTACAATCATTTACTTCCAATGGATACTTACAAGTTACACAATATAAGCAAAAGTATCTTAAGTTTTTTTTTTTTTTTTAAATCTAAAGCTAGAAGGACTTAACTAACCCGTCTAAATCTAACTACCTTTTTCATATACGTTCGGGATCAAAGTCTTGAATACTAACACAGAGTAGGGTAATGGCCTAACCAGCATAACATCAATACAAGCATAAAGTTGATGATGCGCAAATGCTATTAAAGCAGCTAATAAATCGGTGTACGTTTGAACGCATGCATGTATATCCGGCAATTTATTTAATAATGTTGTGACCAGCGTATCAGCCTACAAAAGTAAATTCATCTTTTTACTTCACTTTCAACACACATTTCAAAAGGATATAGAAAATATATTGGATATAAAATATATAAATAAGTAAGAAAAGAAGTTACCTCAGCTGACAAAGTATCACCTCGATGTGTAAGCAAACTGGTAAGTAATTGAGCAGCTGCTGAACTGACCTGACTTTGGCGATCACTTAGCATGCTAAACAAACCCGACACGTATGTCTGTATTTGGGATTGTGGTAGACGACTGTCAGTAAACTGCAAAGATTATTTTAAAAAAATTACCGAATAAACAAAAGTCTTAAATTATGTAGAATTAAGCCAGGATTGTTGTGTCAAACTATAATGTAAAACATTTTCAAATTAAATCAAGTGAATTGGAGATTATTTTATATCAATATAAAAGGAAAAAAGAATTCAAAAAAATCTACAAATTACTTACATCAGCCATAACTTTGACAGCTTTCCGTGAAAGCATTCCTTCAAGTTTGCCCTCATCACCAAGGTATTCATTGATAAATGAAGTTGGATCAAATAAAGTACCATCGACGCTATCTCGGGCAAGACCTAACACATTAATTATAATATTGGAAGATTCTCTATAATTGATAGATAAATTACGTCGTTTTCTAAATTAAAACATGCCAAAATAACTTTTGAAAAAACCTTTATAAACATGAGCTAATCGAAATGTCCAATAAACAGTGCGCAATGCAGCATGACGAACAGCACATAATGAATCAGCAATTCGTGGAACTAATCGAGCTAACAATGATGACATCGGACCAAACTCACTTGCACGCTAAACAATTAAATTACAGGAAATTGAAAAACAGAATAGAATTAGCACAAGATTTGTGTATCACAGAGCAGTGAATGAAGTAACGCAACATGCAAACTATATGCATCTTTATTACACAGTTATTAATAATGATACTAAGAGAAATAAAAACCAAATTTTTGTCATTTCCATATATCATAAATGTTTCTATTAAGTGTCTTCAATAGCAAAATAATTGAGCTACTATCTGCAATTGCATTTTATAAAATACTTACACCCAGTGCAAAATCTGTAGCATGTTCGAAATAAACCGTAAGTACACGTAATGTAGCATCCACTGCCCGCAAGCGTTCATGACCAGCGGTAGAAGCATAATATGGTTGGAAAAGCTGTAAAAATACAAAATTACTCAAGTTTTTAAATATATTTATTTGAGATGATGAAAATACTTTTATTTACGAAAATACTTTTAAGTGATGAAAATGGAATTTCGTATTTAATAGAGATCAAAAAATGCTACAGTGGCGTTTATTTTAAATAGGAATAAAAATTTTAAAGTACATATTTATCATTCATTTATCTTTCATCTCATATTTCGTTTGTTGTTACTCCGAAACAAAGTTGCAGCATATTTTTCTCACTATAAGAAGTGATTTTCTGTTAAGAATCATAAAATTATTCAATTAGATTAGAAAATTCTTTTCTTATTCAACTAGTCAATTAGACTGAGAAAAAAATCTTTTTCCTTACTTAATTAGAAAATTCTTTTCTCACTCAACTAGTCAACAATCTAGTTTATGACTACCTAAAACAATAATTTGTTATTCTCACTAAGTCAAATTCCTATTATAATGCTCATACGTAAATCATTTGAATAAAAAAGCACCATCAAACATACTTTTAACAAATGTGTAACGGTTCCAACGACAGCTTTTTTCTTAATTATTTGCTCAACTGCAGCATGGTATTGATTTACTGTGGCTTCCATCATTGTTGAACTTTCATCATCGTCAATCTATAAGCTAGCTTGTTATGTGCAAGCAATTTTTTATGCCACAACTTAATGCAGAATTAGATCCAATTAAAAACTTCAAGACAATAGGCAAAAATTTTGCAAACAAAAATTTACAACCAAACATTTGACATGAAAAACATTAACAATATTTTGAAATTTTTCTGAAAATAAAATAACTAGAGGAACTAATGAAATTTCTACTAGTAATATCAAGTTTTTCTCAATCTTAATTTAGTCCAGTAATTAAGATAGCTTTATTTTTATAATTTGTAAGATACACTTGCATCGTTTAAAAAAAAAAAAAAAGTTGTGTTTTTAACAAAATATAGGCTTAAGTTTTTAATAAATCCTTAATGTCAAAAAAGCTAACAGTTTTTAAGCCACTTCGTTCACGGCACAAAGGTAACGTATGATTTGTTAATACATAACCAATTTGCCAGATGTCATCATCAGATATAGCTGGTTCCAACGAGCTAGAAAAAATATTATTCTTCATATCCCATTTCAGAAAAACCTTACGCAATTTTCAGCATTTTTTTATGTTATTCTAATTTTCATTACTGGACATTATACTATTTTTGTTATCAGAATTTAATGAAATACAGCAGTGATAAGAGCAAAATCATCTCCTGTGAGTAATAACTGCCGCAAATATAAATATACGCTAAAATCATTAATCGGAAAAATTATTAGAAATTATTAAGAAAAAGAGATTGCAACTAACACCAAAGCAGCAACTGCTTTACCCGCAAGTAACGTTATTGAATTCGATAAAGTTTCTGGTGATTCAGACTCAATGTAGTCCTGAAATTAAACAATTATTATAAGAAATTATTGTTTAACAAAAAAGAAATTTTTGATAAAAACACTTACTGAAATAATTCTAACCGAACAACTATTAAATAGAAACAGTAATGATAAAAAATTTCAAAGACAAAAGAAGTCGTAAAAGTAAGCCACTAACTTTAATATGATTCAATAGCTCTGTACGACATTCCAAATGATATTCGGTTATGAGATGAGTCGAACTCACCGAAACCGCAATCAAATATATCGTTTCCAATAACGCTTCTCTAACAACTACTTCTTGCTAAAAAGTTATCACCTGCGCATTCTACTATTACTAATTCAAATTTTAATCATTCATTCCTCATTATTTCCCTTTTTTTAAAAAAATCATTATCTCTGGTCTCTCTGGTTTCCTCATTGATTATCTCTGATCAATAAATTATCTCTAGTTCCTCATTGATTATCTCTGGTCAATAAATTTAACATTAATATAAGGTGATAAAACTGAGACAACTACTCTTATCACAGTTCAGCAAATCATTACTTCGAAACAGAACTCAATGTTCGTCAAAATGACTACAAAAGATTTATTGTACACATTAATTATTAGATCATCAATAGTAACATCCTTATAAAATACTCCTAATCTGGACCTAAAAGACAGTTCCTGAAGAAAATAATTATAAAAAAAAATCCTTGCCTAATCAAAGTTACATCAGATAAACAAAGTAGAATTCTAACCTTTGGATTTTCCAAATATCGTCGTAAAAATACAAGTACAGTTTGCTCCAGTCTTTGTGTGACTACATCTGTTGGACAATAATAAACTACGTAACCTAAAAAATTTCAAATATTTTCACACAAAAAGCACACCGTAACATAATAATTATATCTCGTTTTTTTTTTTTTTTTAACTTTTTCAGAAAAAAAAAAAAGTCACACCGTAGCTAAGCATAATGGTAGCACGCAAATTAACCATTTCTTGATCACTGTATTGTTTGTACGGCATAGCATCCTGAATTTAAGCAAAATTCAGTACTCCAAATAATAAAAGAGAAAAAGATCAAAAAAATAAATAACATTCTAACGTAAAACGTAAAAGATATGCATAACCAATATGAAAAAAACTGCAGCTTTCAAAAGATATTCAAACAAAAAAAAAGTGTGGATTTCAACCATTTTTCCAATCAGCACATTATTTATAAAGCATCTGGAAAACCGGTTACCTTAATAAATCCAAATAATCCGGAACTTTTTTTTAAATTCTCCCACTTGGCAATATTTTCCAATTCTGTAAGCACCAAATCGGTATGTGTAGTTGCACAGTAACCAATCGCTTGAGCGCAACCTGTGCGTTCAGCTTGTTGTCCATGCACTGTTGAACGGAATAGCAAAATCAGATGATCAACAACAAAACTGGTATTTGTTGACAATGCCAAAGCACCACCGAGACAACGCATTAGAAATGCCTAACAACTGATAATGAATTCGAAAATCTAACAACTGATAATGAATTCGAAAATTAATCAAAAAAATTCAAAAAAAAAAAAGTTAAGAGATTCATCATTTACTGATTTATTATATAATTACCCATCATCCAAACTATAGGTTCAGAAAAATACCCGTAGTACAATGATAGCTACTTTGACCACAAATTATTAAGTCTAAATTAAATTAAATTCATCCAATACAACTTACTCGGATAATCAACAAAGGGTAGTTATCCCTTGATAAAGTAATATTTATGAAGGAAGAGAAGACATATAAATGTAAAGGATGAGAAACCTAATATCTTTTAAAGGGTTTTCTAAGCCATATGATTCTAATTAATTGCACAAATATAGAAATAATAACTTTTTCTTCAGGTGCATCACTATACAAATTGAATTGTTTTCCCATAGCAGCTGCAAATGCACATCGCCATTCACCATCGTTCACATTTCTCACACAAAGATCTAATAAATCAAGTATATGTGCATGCCATCGTGCAATACGTGCAAGACGAAGCTCGCAAACTGCGCTATTACCACCTTCCATTGTACTATTCAGCGGTGGTGATAAACCTAAAATTAACAAAACAAAATTAGAAATTGAACAGATAAAACAAATATGAATTTAATCATAAATTTTTTAGTTTTGGAAAATATTTCTCACATTCCTTTTGGATTGATTCTTATTACAAAATGAAATTGAAATACACAAAATATCTCACTTTTTAATGTAACAAGCAGTTCACCGCAACGCTTTGGTAAAACATTACGCAATGAATTATGAAACCATGGTGTCAGAACACTTAATAATCGTAAAGCTTCTGTTGCTCGTTTTGAAAGTAACAAATTAAGTGGTGCATTATTCGTACACGTTATAAGTCGTGAAAATACTTGAAGATTCCCGGCAACATGCGCTGGAAGAATTGTTAGCTACTACAGCAATAATGATTAAAATAATATATACGCAAATAACTGAAATTTTTCCTCATAAATTTCTTATTTCTTATTATATCGATTCGGATTTCTCAGTTGCAAAGTATTCTTCTGTTCTCTTGAATTTTAACACCTACTTCTTTTTATCGGAAATGCAATTATTATTTATTACTTACGGCTATCAAAACCTTTCTCGAAATCCAATTTTTCTTCTGCTTTCATTGTCCGTTCAGCAAGAATCCTAATACATTTGAAGATATCCGTCAATGCTATATTATATTCTTGGGCACAAATGAATTCGAATAGATATGGCCAAAGCAACTACAACAAAACATCAGTTTTTTGATATTAAAAATTGAATTGTGGAAAAAAATTACATGAAAAAGATAAGATGATTTTTCTAAAATAACTCATCGCATGCAATCACCGTAAATACTATAAGAATGTGGTTGCAAATACAAAAAAAAATCTTATTGACTCATTAAAAATATGAGCAAGTATATAAATTGGAAAATTGCCTTGCTTATTATTATTGCAGGTATAAAAATCTTCATTGTCCTCATAGAATGCATACCGCAAAGTATTTGAAATATTATTTAATTGCACTTTAAAATCTATTGTCGTTCAGCATTTCATGATGATACTCTAATCTAATCCAATTCAATTAAAATTTAGTCTAATCAACTAACACTATGCGCAGTTGAAGATGTTTTTGCTATTGTTTGCAAAGCTTGTCCACACTGTGCACGCAAATGTGCTGCACTATCTGCTGCATCTATTTCTGACGAGAAGAATGCTTTCTTTGCCTGAAAATTTTTAATTATTAATATTAATCCGAAAATTATTGTTTATTAATATTAATTATTATTATTTTTATCAAATATCATTCAAGATAATATTTCTATAAATCACTGATACATTTTTTATGATATAATGTGGGAATATCCTAACATATTTAGCATCATTTTTTCCTTTTTTTCACATATAAAACGATTCTTAAGCCTTCATCCTTTTCACTTTCATATGTTTTGATTCTTATTCTAATGAAGTAATACTGCCTGAATAAAATTTAAAACACAAGCACCTGCAGACTGTCAAATTAGTCTATCCACATGTAATTTAAGAACAATAATTGCATAGCAACTAAGTTCCGTTAGTTCTGAGAGGAAAATATGGGATTCCTTCATCTGGACGATACTTATAGCTTCATTGCAATATTTAAAAAATATAAAGACATCAATTTTTTTTTATCCTCACATATTTCCCAATTTTCAGATAATCCAATCATTTTTTGTGACAATGATAACAGTGATAAAAAATTTGAAGCTAGAATTATATAAGTAAAAAAAAAAAAAAAAATGAAAATGAAAACTTTACCGTTTCACCCTCTTGAACAATAAGATTTTTCACCAAGAATATAATTACATTATTACCACCTTCCACATCTATATATTCATGATCAGCTAATGCCACACATAATTGGCACATTGCCTTTTTGACTCGAATAGTTAACAGTCCTTCACTACCAGCAAGTAACATTGGTTTTAAACCAAGAATTACCAATGAACGTTTGTCTTCCACATATGGTCCTTAATCTCATTTCAATTTTATTTGACAAAATGTAAAAATATTGTGCTGAAATTTCATAAATATAATCAATCAAATAAAAACCAATGTTGTGAAGCTAATTCTAAAATGAATTTTACTGACCAACTGCTTTAGTTTTGTGTAAAATGTCTCTTTCTATAGCCACTTAAATAGGTAAATTGTGTCAGTATCAGAAGATCCAATAAATATATCTACGAACCATTCTTTTAGTTTTAGTAGAACAAGTACACATTACATGGTTAAAAAATTATTCCATATCTCTAAATAATTTCCGTACGTAAATGTCCTATCTATAAAAATAAATAAAAGTAAAAATAATCATTACACAACTATAAAACGCAGAAAGGATACTGCTTACAAATAATTCATTTCTTCATCCTTTCACTATACTTAAGAGATCTATTCAGTAATAATTAAGCCATTTGTGGTTTACTTTCTCTTAAGTAATTCTCTCTTGTCATTCACTAGAAAAAACATGAAGCGTTGGAATATCTCAAATTATTTTAATTTATGAAATGACCATCGAAAATATCAATAGGTTAAAGTCATTTAAATAATAATTAAAATTACCAGCTGAATTGAGAAGATGCCTTAGAACATTGATAGCACCCAATTTTGAACTATCTTGTACATTTTGCATTTTATGCAATAAATAATACACTATTTTATCGGCAAAACGTGTTGCTGAAATATATAAAACAAATATATGGAAATTGAAAATATCTATAATTAAGCCAAGCAAAAGATATGCATGCAATCTAAATTTAAAAAAAAAAAAGATGAAAATTGCTAAGTATTTTAGATAGAAATCTTTATCTTCCTAATATATAATTAAATTTTCTTATTTTACATATGCAAATGAAGAATTTATAAGGTTAAATTCTGGAGAAAAAAAACGAAGCGCTAAATAAATATTCCTTAACATTAGGAATAAAAATCAAAGAAATGAAAAGGAAATAAGATGCAAAAAAGGAATGAATGTAAAGAGATGAAACTCTTCAAAGGGGGTGACTACTTACAGAATAATAATGGAATAAGCTGGAATAGGAGGCGCCCATTCACAAGCGATTCTAGAAATGAACTATCAGAGTAAGGTTACCATATATGTTAACATGTAGCATACTAAATAAATAAGAAAAACAAAAATAACAATGAAGGAATTTCACTAAACATATTTAAATGATGAATGCAGGCATATCAAATGAATATAAATTGCATTTTTGTGATAAATCATTCGGGATATCATTGTTTGCCTTCAAGCTGATTTGTTTCAATTGCTTCAGTGATAACTTTTAGTCAAAATTACTGAACGCTTAATTAATAAAGCTGTTGGAAAATTTAAAATGCACATTATAGCGTTATTTATGAAAGAAAATTCTATTTGATGTTAAATTAAAATTCAAAGCAAAAAGTTCGAAAGCAGGCGAACAACTAAAAAAAAGTGTAATGAAACTCTGATATAGTTTAGAAAGTTCATTAGAAGTTCGCCTTCAGATACTATGGGTATGATAAACAATTTCATCGTTACAGATTGTGTGACATTCAGTAAATGTGAACAGATGGATAAGACGCTATTTATCACAAATTTAAACAAACGCTCAAAAAAAAAAAGATAAGTACTTTAGTGTTGAAAAATTATAATGAGTGCTCAATGAAAGGTTATTAAAATTAGAGAAAGCAGAAAATTAGTTGGAATTAAAAAATTAGTTGTAAATAAATTAAAATCAAACCACAATAAAATATGATGGCAATAATATTAAAATAAAATTAGACATAACAATTTCTAACCAGCAACATGAAAGCAACGAAATGCTTCGCTTTGATTACGCATTGAAATGTTTGAAGCGACAGTTTGCTCAGCAACAGAATATACCAACGGGAATAACGCATTCAAAATATCTTCCAAATATGCATCTAACGGACAGTTTTCATCAGCGCATGCCGATTCCAGAAAACGACACAAACCCTGTAGCAAGGTAGGAAGAGATATGTCATAAATGAGGCAAAGCAGAAGGAGAAAGTAAGTGATAGATGAGGATTTTAGCAAAACAAATGGAATTTGACAAATTTGAAAGATATGAGTTACTACATAATCAAGCAAGCGTGTAAGTAAGGAAAAAACAGGTAATTCATTATATTACTCAATCAGGTTATAACATTTAATTTACGAAAAAAAAAATGTAAATAAATAAAATACCTGTGTTACAAGATGCTGATCAGTATTAATCTTTCGATGTAGGTTCAATAATATTGGTATTAGCCTTCTCATTTCATCTACTAAACGTTTTGGCGAAATCATAAGGCATAATTCTCCTATGCAATTAGCAGCTTCCGCTCGAACCTAAGTTTGAAAGTTTACAGAGTGTAATAAATATTTCTTCGTTAGAAATTGTAAAAATTTTGAACACAAACATTAATTTAATTATTTAATAATAGCTATCGAATTATTAAGCATGAAGTACATAAATTATTATATCCAAAAATTATGCAGACTTTTTTATTTCCAGTGAAAAAAAATTTATTCCTCGAATAAAGCAGTGAGGATACCTTAACGTCTTTAGCACTTAACCAACTAAATACTGGTTCATAAGCCAGTTCCATTTGATCAACATAATTTTTCTGTACAATTTTTGGCTCACCACAAGTTTGACTTCTAGTTGTCTGAAAAATAAGAAAATCAATTGATAAGCAAGGCTTAATAAATTATTTAACACGTGGGAACATAATATTCCCACTTGATGCAATACTGATATTCTTACTGATTTAAAATATCAAAATGGTAATTAAGTGGGCCTGAAAATTGAAGATACGGCAGATGCCTTTCCAAGTTTATATTTCCAAATGGTTGTAGGACTTTACCCGCTCATTTTTAGCATAATCACCATTGCAACCGTTAACGTCACATTCAGTTTTTGTAACAGTTGAAGCAGAAATATATTCACGAACTGATTCACAAAATGACCGCAAAGCATGTGCCCAAGCGTATCGGTAGATATCCGTTTTTATGTGAGGTAAAACCGAAATCACACGTGATAGAATATCCGTCAGAAATGGCACAAATCCAATTGCTGTAAAAGTTTTTCAAATCCACTACTAACATATGATTTAATTGATTAAAGTATTCACTTAAATTTTCTGAAAAGAATGAATGAAAATTAGAAACAAAAGTTTAGAGAGACTAATATAGCTGAATAAAAATAGAAAAAAAAAAAGAAATTTTCATATTTCATGATGCACAAATACCATTATGCTCAGCAACATTTGCTAATGTCAAAATGATGTATCGATGAGGCGAAGAAGTTTGGCCTGGTGGGAATTTCTGAAGTAATGCCTCCATTACGTGCCCAACGAATTGACTTCGCTTTGCCAGAGTAACCAAAACATTGCAAGCAGCTTGTGGCCAATCGTCACTTTCCTGTATAATTGAAATTTGAACAGATTAGTTTATAAAAAACTACGGAATAAAAGATACCGGAAAAGGTATTTGAAAAGTGATAGTATAAAAGATAATTTAACTTGATGAGTTAAAAATAAACCTTACAACATTTTTCAAAATATTACAATGCAGTATCAAAGAGATCTACATACAATTTCAGTATGTAGTAAAGTAAGCACAAAACTCTCAGAAGCAAGCTACCATTACGAAAACCATGAAACTAAAGCATACAAACAACATGTCCATAAGAAATACTATAAGAAATGAATAGCATTATTCTATTATAGTAATAAAAGCTCCATACGTTATGTAAGATAATTAAAATAATGTTAAACAAAAATTAAGTTATAATTCCACTAATTATGAGAATAAATATTCAAAATAATTAACAATAAGTTGTTAAAAAACAATTTCGAAGTATACCTACCTTAGAAAGCGTCATTTCTTGTGTGGCAAGATTTATTATCAGTAACGCTTGCTGCTCATCTAAATCTTCTGGTGCTTGATTGTGCTCAAGAACTCGATTTACTGTTGATAATACAAAAGCTCGATTCTGCCCCGTGAGCTGGAAATTACAAAATAGAAAATAAATTCAAGCTTTGGATTTAAGAATGAATTAAAAATCAGAAATTCGGTAGATCAAAATCAGGACAAACAAATATTAATTAAAAGCAAATAAGCAGGCAGTGTTTTTTACATTGATTTAAAAACGTTTACTAACGAATGTAACGGCTTAACAGAACTTATAAGCATCATAAATTTATCGAAATATTGAAAGATTTTCAAAAGAAACTAATGGCATGGAAAAATAAGCGAATGTGATAATGTACACAAGTGCACAAGCAATTGTTAAAAAAAAAAAAAAATCGAGAAAGTGAATGAAGTCAAACAAAAATTAAAATAATATTCTGCATACCTTACTATGTTGCATCAAGAAAGTATATGCAGCAGAAAGAAAAATCGTAGATTGCTCAATTCCAATTTTGCTCAGCGAGTCTGCAACATTTTCCCGAGGTTCTTCTCCACTACTCAGTGTCACCGCACAATCAAACATCGCTATTATTAAATCTATAAAATATATACAATTAGATTTTCGACTGCTATGCGATTTTTAAATCTTAAGTGTGCCAACTAACAAATTAAAAAGTGATTAAATAAACAAATAAATCGTCAAGTAAATAATAATAAAGACTAAGTACCAAAGAATTAGTCAGTTATAAGATATAAGTAACAAACAGTGGTAAAAAAGTGATGAACAAATAATAATGCATACATAATTAAATAAATGAGTGATGAATAAATAACTAATTTAGAAAGAAATAACAGTAGCAAATAAATAATGCAGGTTAATTAAATGAAATAAAAAATAATCATTTACTTATGGCAAAAATGATAAAATACATAAAATGAACTTAGCAAATTTCATTATTATAATAAAATATTCAAAAAAATTACCTTCCAAACTTTGAACCATTCTAAATCCTTTGCCAAGTATTTCTTTCTTTACAAAAATATCTGAAATAGCAAGGAAAAATGCTTTCCACTTTTTTAAAATTTAATACACAACTGCTAACATACTCTTCAAGCATATCAATGAATTAGAATTCATTTTCGAAAATTTGCTATTTTTTTCTTCGAGCTAATTATATTAAGCTAATTTCTTCAAGAAGGTCTTTTTTTTAAATTTTTTCAATTCTATTATTTCAATAAATATATGATATCAATACGAAGTTGGTAACTTCAGGAAAAAAAATCTCGAATATTGGATTAAGTGAAAATTATTTTCGCTGTGATTTTTGGTGAATTATAAATGAAAGTTTCAAAAAAATTCCATTAAAGATTTGATAATTACAGCAGAATAAATCTATCATTTAGCAAAAAAAAATCAATCAATGGAAAAAAGACTTTCTTATATTCTAATTGTACTAATATTCATAATACATCTAATTTTATCAACATAAAAGTTTTCTTTGTTGTATAATCCAATTGTTACTTAAATTATAAATCTCTTTAATTCATACTAAAGCAATAAATTATTACTCTTTTGTAAAGATTAAATCTTAAAAATTTAATTCAAATTTCTTTCTTTCTTCAAAAAAAAAAAGGAAAATTCATTCACCTTCAAATCATATTACTAATACAAATCATTTTAATTCCTCTATATCTTTGTCAATCTCTCAATCTCTGGCACAACAATAAACTATAGTTATCTCATCACTCCCTCAACCCCTCTCATAGTTATGTCTCTAGCAGATATAATCCTTTTTTCTTTTCCATTACATCTCTCAATTATTCTTTCGCCATTTTTTCTCAATCTCTAATATATTTACTGCACATCTAACCATTCTCATCAATCCCTCTCTCTCCAATTTTCACACAATCTTATGTTACCCTACACGTCTAACCGTTACTCTCTCCAATTCCTAACGATCTCTAACAACGCCACAAGGAAGAGAAAAAGAGGGAGGAGAAAAACAAAAAAGCTTATCACTGAGTAATTTTTATCTATCAAACCCATATCAAAAGGACCAATCAAAGGAACATACTATGAACGAGCGAGCAAATTATGAAAATGTTAATCTCAGCGCAAAAATTTTTAAATAAAACAAATCATTCAACATTTTATTTTTCTTTTTATTATATGTCTCACATAGAGTTATATATGTGAGTAATTCATTATCATTATGAATCACAAATAATTACATACCATAAAGAAAAAAAAGAATAAATACACGGTATGCTATATAAATAAATATAAAATTATAAATATAAAATAATAAATAAATATAAAATTTTAAGAAATCTAATGTACACATTGTTGTATTGTTTACAAAATTATTCATAAATGATTTCAATAAATTTATTGATATTATATGGGAAAGTTAAAGAATTTTTTAATAATTAGAAAAAGATTACATACATTATTTAGAAATTATCTTGTAAAATTCATTTTCCATTTATAAATCGTTTTGTTCAAAATATACAATAAATCTAATAATAATAAAGCCACTGATAAAATTTTTTGTTTTTTGTTTTTTTTAAAGAAAGAAGGAATTTATAATTCTGATTGTATCATACATACATGCTGATAACATTAATCAGACATCATGATAAGATAAATTAACGTATTTTTTTTTAATTTCAGCTTTGCATCTTTGTTTATTTATTTGTCTGTTTTAATTCTTTTGATCAAATTAACCTTCAGCAAATTTCCTGAAAATTATTTTAATATATCATAATGTAATGTGATTTGATTACAGAACTGAAATTAAGAAATAAATAATTATTTTGCAAAAGTCAAACTATTTAGCAATTAAAAATTATCAGTTTTAATTGATTTATCCCATTTTTTTTAAATAGATTTAAAATTTTTGAAAAAAAAAAGAAATGTACTTTTCAAATTATTACATCAAAAAATTTTTCAAAATGTCAAAATAAACTTTACTTTTTCTGCTTACCCTTTTTCATCCATCTTATTATTTATTAAAAGCAACAAAAAAAAAATACAAAACACAAAATAAAATAAAATAAATAAAAAAGAAGAAAGAAAGAAAAAAAAATAATAGAAAAAAGACAAAATGATATTTGTTGCTGTTAAACGTTGGTTGCCGCTTTTCTTATATTCATATTTTCATCATTTCATTATAAGTTCTTCTTAAGTCTTTAAATTCCTTAAAATTTTCTATTCAATAAATCAATTTTATTAAAAAGGAAAGACGAAAAAAAAAAAGAAATTACTGTCATTTGTCACCAAAAAAAAAAGAAGGAGAAATTTTCAAGAAAAAAAATCTAATAATTATGAGCTATTTTAAATAAAATTATTTTAATTTATTTAAATACAACAAAAAAGATAAAAATTAAGCAAATTTTTGCATCAATTTACATTTTATTACATTATAATAATGTTTGTTTATTTTTATTTTTTTCGTTTCAAAAGAGAATTAAAAGAATTGTTAAAAAATTCTTACTAAATTTCAAGCTAAATTAGATTAAAATCAAACTGTGAATGAAAAAAAAAAGAGCAATTGAATGAGAATTTGAATATTTTGGAAAATTTGTTCTTTTAACATTCTTCATTAGCTTTTTTTAAATAAAAGTTTGGTTTGAAGCAAACTTTTATGATTGACATTTTTTCTTAGTTTTTTTTTTTTTAATTCTTTCATTTTTTATATGACACACAAATTTTTTTAAGAAAATGTTATTTTATTAAAATGCCTAACATTATTTGCTAACTGTAGATAGCATATTGATCAACAATTTGTTTCATAAAATGATTTGAATTATTCATAATTTGTAATTACTTTATTATATCAATGATTTGAGTTATTCATAATTTGTAATTACTTTATTATATCAATGATTTGAGTTATTGATAATTTGTAATTACTTTATTATATCAATGATTTGAGTTATTCATAATTTGTAATTACTTTATTATATCAATGATTTGAGTTATTCATAATTTGTAATTACTTTATTATATCAATGATTTGAGTTATTCATAATTTGTAATTACTTTGTTTATAAATTGCTTATAAGTATTATTACTTCATTAATTATGATTATTTAGTTTTAACTTAAATGCATAGAAATAAGCAATTACTATAAATTTATTTGCTATGCATTTTAAATTAATTAATATTAAATTCTCATTAATTATTAATAGCTGACATTTTATTAATTGTTAGTGATTTATATATTTTGACGGTTCATAAGTCTTATGAATAATAAATTCATTTTGATTAACATAAATTACGAAAAAGATATCTGACCAGCATAGAATATAGGAAGGAATGAATGGAAGCCAATAATGATTGATCAATTAATTGATTGATTGATTAGATAGATTATTGATTGGAACGAGTTCATCTTATTCTATACCAAATAATCAAATAATTATTTGATTAATAATTTATTGACATCATTCATTCTAATTAGTCTGTCATTTACATTTAATTCTAAGATCAGCAGTTATTGATTAGCAATAATAATATTCTAATTTTTCTAGTTCTAACTATTTTCAATTTTAAAATTTTTCCAAATATAACAATATTTTCAATTATTAACTAAATAGAGTTTGGAAGTAATTAAATGGTTACTTAATTTTGATTAAATTAAGAAAAAAGTGTAAAATACTTTTTATTAATTACAGGTCAAAGTAAACAATAAAATTTTTAATAATTTTTGTTTTTTTTTTTTAAATCCATGATCTGTTCATATTGAAATAATTAAAAAATTTTCTTATTCTGCATTTTCAAAATTTTTAATTATTTAGGTGAAATAAAATCTGGTTAAATAATGATTTGCATAGTTTTGGTGACACTTTTGACATTATACATATTTGGAATTGAAATGGTTCTAGCAACGAATTGCCATTTTTCTCGACCTAATCAAATTAGCCCATCGGGTTGGGTTGATCTGATTGATAAATGTAAGGAAGAATCAAACGATACGATTTGTTTTTCAGGCGTAAGTATATATATATATTTTTATAATAATCTAAAAAATTTATGAAAGAAATGAATAAATTTAAAACGAAAAATTATGTAAATTTAAATGCAAATATAAATTTCCCATTTTTTATTTACATTTTTTTAATATAAAGATTTATGGAAAATTTTTTTGTTTAAAATTTAGCTTAGATAATATAAAGTTCAAAAAAAAAAAAGGAAAAAATTATAAAATTCATTAATCATAAGAAATTGAATAAAATTTATCCATTTGTTTATGTATTATTTTTATTAAAGCTCAATTTATTATGTCATATTTTTATAGATATTTGCTTATTTGTTATTAAAATTATTTGCTCAAATTATTGATAAAAAATTTTATTTAAAAAAAAAAAAATTGCAAAATTCATTTTTATAAATTAATTAAAATTTATAAGGTACTGAATAAAATTTATTCATTTGTTTATGTATTTTTTTTTTTATTTTTTGTTTAAGTTAAATTTATTCTTTCATACTTTTTGCAAATATTTTTCTAATTGTTATTAAAATTATTCTCTAAATTTTTGATTAAAAATTTAAATTTTTAATTTTTAGTATAATCCACGTGTCGCATATTATCACGAAGCAGTTGGTTGGTGGCGAGTACTGCACAGTGAGAATGAATGCTTTACCAAACAATATGTCAGTGCTTTTTTTTTTTATAAATTTTAGTTTAAAATTACACAATTCATTATTGATCATATTTTATAATTTAAATGAAAATTTAGGTAATTAATTTAATTATATAATTTAACACAATTCAAATTTATTCAATGTTTGTTAATAATTTAATTATATAATTTAACATAATTCAAATTTATTCAATAATTTTTTACTAATTTAATTATATAATTTAACATAATTTAAATTTATTCAATGTTTGTTAACTAATTTAATTATGTATTTTAACATAATTCAAATTTATTCAATAATTTTTCAATAATTTAATTATATAATTTAAAATAATTCAAATTTATTCAATAATTTTTCAATAATTTAATTATATAATTTAACATAATTTAAATTTATTCAATGTTTGTTAACTAATTTAATTATATAATTTAACATAATTCAAATTTATTCAATAATTTTTCAATAATTTAATTATATAATTTAACATAATTCAAATTTATTCAATAATTTTTCACTAATTTAACTTATTAAAATATTTAATTCAAATTTATTCAATAATTTTCAGTTGCGTAAAAAATTGGCTTGTAAAAGTGATCAAGAAACACCAGAAGAAGGTTGCTATCGAGATAAAACACATCACAAGAATTTTTTCCTTTGTTGGTGTACGGGGTCAAAGTGCAATACAAGGGAAAAGATAACAGAAATTTACAAGAAAAATAATACATTATTTGTTATTGGTGGTGATTGTAAACCATTTGAATTTTGATTGAAATTTTTAAATCTGAAACAAAATTTATTAAATTATTTATTTGAATGAAAAAAATTTGTAATTTAAAATTATTCAATTAAAAATTTAAATTAAATCTGTTTGCTAGTTGAAATATTTTAATGTATAAACATTGAAACTATGTATAAAAATGTAATTTTTTTGTAATACCTAAAAAAATTCTTTGTTTAATACAATGTGCAATTTGAATGAATTTTAATTCATTTCTAAATTAGTAATTATTAATTTATTAAAAAATTGAATAAAATTTTCTTTTTTTCAAATGGAAATATTTTTTATTTAATTAACAAATTTTTTAATAAAAACCAAAATTTTTTGATTTTTCTTTTTTAATATTTTTTGATCAAATTTTCGATATACAATGGAATTAAAAAAAAAAGTATATATATATAATTCTTTACTTTCAATCTTTTTTTTTTTAAATATTTTAGTTTGTGAATTTTTTAAATAATAAATAACTTTTTAGACAATTTGCTTTCCCAAAATTAAATTTACCAAATTATTCATTAATTTAATCAAATATTTTCATTTCTCCTTTTTATCTTTTATTAACCATTTCTTTCGTTCACCGTTTCACAGGACGTAGCATTAATTTATATTTTAATAATTTATATTTTAAATAAAGCAAACAAAAAATACATACAATTAATTATTTGCTTTTTTAATTAATATTTTAAATAATGCGTTTTTATTTTATATTAATTAATCTTTTGGACGAGACAAACATAAATTAAATAATAATTAAAATTATGATGCTTCCATAATTGTTAATAGTTAAATTAATTCAATAATTCATTCATTTAATTAAATTGTATTTAAATTTGAAATTGAATAAAAAAAAACTTTAATGTAATTTTTTTCTCTTATTGCAAAAAAAAAGCAAAAAAATGAATAAAATTGTAAGACAAAACATTTTCAATCGAAATAGAAATGAAATGATTCATCGCTTCAAATTTTATTTTTTTTTTTTCATGGAATATTTTTTAATTTTAATCATAAATATATATATTTTATACTATCTATAATGCTTAGTTTTATTCATCATTAAATTCAACAAAAAAATAAATTTCAAAAAGTAAAAAGAAAAAAAAAATAAAACGAATGAATCAATGCGAACTGAATGATTTTAACAGAAAGTTTTTCGTTGATTTCTGATAGCACACTATGAGAAAAATATTTAAAAATATTTAATTTTTCTCATTGTCATATTTCAATTCTTACATTCACTCATTTTTGCTTTTCATTTTCATTTTTTTTTTTATTTTTTTTTTCAGTCTAAAATTTTTATTTTTTTGTTTTTGTCTGAACTTTATTTAAGAAATTTATGTTTTTAACATAGTCTTTAACAAGCAGTAAATGCTTATTGCTTTGTCATTTTTTTTCTTTTTTTTTTTAATAAAATAAGAGAAATCATCAAAAAGGAATTTATTTGTTTGCATTTTTTTTTCAAAACGAAAAAAAAAATTATTTTCTTTCTTATTTTTTTGTTTTATTTTGGTGGCGAAGAAAAAAAAGTTGAAATTGCTTAGGTATTAAATGAGTTAATGATATAATTAAATTTTAAATTTTTGTTTTAATTAATTAATCAGTTTTTTTTAATCAGCTAATTTTGTGTTTATTTTACTATGATGCATTAAATGATTTGTCTTTTTCTTTTTTTTTTTTTGATGATTGGATAATATTATGAATTTTATTTATTAAATTTAAATTAAATTTTATTAGCATTATGAATTATTATTGTTGCAATTTATTTCAATCTCATTTTTCAATATGATTGAGCTTAATTTGAACTAAATATTCAAATTATTTGTCATCACATAGTAACTTGTTTTTTTTTTTAAAAAAACAAAAAAACAAAAAAGTTCAATTTTTTTTTCTTTTCAATGTTCAATTTTTTCTTTTAATAAAATTATTTTAAACAAATATTTTACTAAATTATCGTTATTTTCTGTGTGTTAATGAATTAATCAATTTCGTTTTTTTATAGTATATTAAATTAGTTTTATAGTATTTAATAATTTAATTTCTAATATATTTCATATATTAATCGATCGACTGTAACTAAAAAACGAAATTGTTGATAATAATAAATTGCTAATAAGTCTAAATATTATTAGACTTATTATAGGATATAGTATTGTGATATTTAAATGGAAATATAAATTTTAATTAAATTATTGAATTTAGGTGAAAATATGAGAATAATGAATAATTCAATTACTTATATGATACTATTACTATTTATTAGTATCACTTATACTCTATCATTATACTGTTATATGGTACATTGGGATGCATATTCATCATTTACGGAAAAAGTTTATAAATGCAATGATGACGAAGAATTTTGTGCATCTTTGGTACTTTTATTTCTCTTTGTAATTTTAATTTTAGTAATTAAACTTAACAATTAAAAATTAAGTAAGCAATTTATATGGAATTAATATTTAATAAATTTTATTATCATTAAATTTAGATTAACATTAATACAATTAATTTGTTAATTTTTTTTTTTTTGATCATAATTTTTTTAGAAATATATTTAAATTTTTTATTAAGTAGAAGTTAATCTTTAAAATGTATATATATTATTAATAAAAAATGATTAAATAAATAAATTTGAAAAAAAAAAGAAAGAAATAGATAGATCAATGTTACATATAATTTATGTAAATTATAAAAAATTGATTTGAAAAAAAGTTTTTACTTACTCATTTTTTTTCTCTTCTTTTTTAAATAAAGAATTATATTCTTTGTAGTATGATCGAGGTGCTGAAACTTGGTATCTTCGAGCAATACCATTGGATAAGAAATGTTATTCTACCACTGAGGTATAATTAATCATATTCATTATTTAAATTTAAATTATTATACGTATCACAAAACTTTTATATTACAACATTAGAAATTAATTGATTGATTGAAAAGCAAAAGAAATAGATCAACAATATTCGAAAAAAAAAAAAAACATTGATCAAAGATATTTGAGTATCACATATTTTATGCAAATCACATAAAATTAACATTATTTCTCATAGAATCATCATATTTTTATAAAATTAACAATATTATTAAATAAAAATTTGATTTTACAAACAAACAAAAAAAAAGAAAAAAAAATGATATATTTTCAGCTGAAAAGTCGAATAAACTGTAGCATAGATACATTCAATGAAGGTTGTTTCATGGATCCACGTTATAATACCTACGAACGTAGTACGTCAAAATTACCGGTTTGCATTTGCAAAGGTGATTATTGTAATACGCAGGAAAAAATTGAAAATATTTGGTTGGAACAAAATATTTACAAATTTCATGATCCGGAAAATTGTGATGAGAAATCGAGCAGAAAAGATTCAATTATGGAAGCTTTAACTAAAATTATTACCACAACCAAATTATCAAAATCGAATCAGGAAAAAACAACAAGAGCTACCAAAAAGATGAAATTAACGACAACAACAACAATAACAACAACAACAACAACAACAACAACTACTACTACTACTACTACTACTGCTACTACTACTACTACTACAGAAATGTCGGAATCAAGTTCAGAAGCAATAACAAGTACTGAAGAAAAGTTAGAATTATACGTTGAAACAACAAAAAATGCTGCAGAAATGTTGGGATCAAGCACTGAAGCAACAATAATCACTAAAGAATCAGAATCAGGATCAACAATAATTGCTACAGAATCAGAATCAACCATAGAATCAACAACAACTGGTACAGAATCGGAATCAGAATCAACCACAGAATCAACAACAATTGGTACACAATCAGAATCAATCGCAGAATCAACAACAACTGGTACAGAATTGGAATCAGAATCAACCACAGAATCAACTACGACTGCTACAGAATCAGAATCAACTACGACTGCTACAGAATCAGAATCAGATACAACTATAACAGCAACAACTGCAAGAAATTTATCAGAAACAAGTGGGATGACCACACTAACTACTAATGATGGTCATGATGCAACAATAAATGGTACAGAACTTCCAGAACATTTTTTCAAAAAAGCAAAACCTACCTGAAAATGTTAATTGGAATGAGATTAGAAAAGTATTCCAAACTGTTTCGTTTTCTTTTTTTCCGCGCTCTCTCTCTCTCTCTCCAAATATCATCTTGATTATAATAAATCTTAGCTACAATTATTATTAGTAAAAAAATAAAAAGGCTTAAAGTAAGATTAAAAATAATTTCAAAATCATTTTCAGTTCGGAAAATAAAAAAAAAAAATGCAAACTTACTATGTTGTTGAAAAGTTTAATATTCTCTTTATAATCACTTTTTTTTTTTTTTAAAAAAAAAGCAAATAAAGAAATAAATAATCTGTTTGATATACATTGTATTCAAATCAAGAAATGACTAATTGATCAATAAAAATTAAAATCTTTGAAATATATTAAAATCTGAATTTAATTCATTTGAATTCACTCAACACAGTTCATCAACTTTATTAACTTTACTAATGATATTTGTGCAAAGAAAAGAAAAATAAATGTAATAAAAAGTATAAATTAAGAAGAAAAAGTTTTATCAAAAAAAAAAGTTTTGAATTTTCAATTTAATACTTTTTATGCTTTAGCATCGATTACACTGATAATTATGACTATTTTTTTCTTTTTTTTTTGCATACAAATTGATTTTCTCCTTGTTTATTATCAGCTGATATGTTATCATTAATATCTTTCTTTTTCTAACAAATAATTTAGTCATTTTGGAAGTGGAAAAGTTAAAATTAATTAATGAATTCTTCAATCTATCATTGTCATTTTGATAAATTTACAGGAAAAACAAATTTTAACAAATAGCATTTCATGTTTGATTAATTAATATAGAATATTAATTCCATTAATATTACTATTCCTAGTTTTAATCATTTCAAATAACAATAATAATTAGCATAATTAAATCTGTAATTACCATTAATGCAACTATATAATAAATATTGATAGTTAATC